TTGGGGAAGTGAAGGATCTGAACTCTTCTTCCACCGACAGGCTGCTCTGAAACAAAGAGATCAATAAAAACGGACACGGTGTCAAGATGAGAACATAGTTTACGTTTATTTAAAGGCTGATTCCACCAGAAACACAAAAAAGCCTCAGAGTTCAGGTCTTGAGGCCGTTTCCTGTCAGTAAAAACCCGTCAGAGCTCCAAACCAGCGAGGACCGAAACCTCCAAACACCGACCGAGTGGAATGTCCATTTAGTTCTTACTCAAAAACACACACAACCCCAGAACCAGCTCAGATCCACGCAGCGAGCTTCAAAACATCGAGAAACTAACTCTCTCTCTCCTCGAACGCTTTCTGGCCAAACTTTTCGTCCTCACATTCATTCAATATTTTATCTTTATTATTGTTCAAATACATTTTGTAAATGCAACATGAAAAGCACAACCGCACGGAAAATAGACACGTCTCTTTGAAGTCTGCGTTAATAAAACACCCTGGAACGGGAAAATAAAACAGGCTTTTACTCTTTTTATTGTTTCAATCCCTTGGAACTAAATGGTTGTTTAAAGGTAGAAAACAGCTTTCTGCTGGTTTAAACTGGACAGGAAGTTACTTACAGTCTAAACCACCTCGCATCCTGCTACGTCCTGATTGGTCAGCGGTCGCTCTGCCGCTCTCTGATTGGCTCTAAACCAACCAGGACTCTACGAGGGTGAAACCACAGAAATAAAAACCCTCTCACGACTCTCTCAGACCGCTGGAACTTCTCAGGAAACTTTTGTATTTTAATGGGAACTCAGAACCGTTACGTTTAGTTCCTGGACTTAAAAAAAAAAAAGATGGTCCAGGTAAATAATTTCCAAAGAAAAACATTTGATGGTTTCTGCGTGAAATACATTATCTGAAGTGTTTCATTGATGATCAAACAAAACGAGCTATTTAAATTTTTTAAAAATTATTTTCTGACAAAAGTCAATCGACCAAAAAGAACCTGATTAATCAGCTTTGAGTTACTTTACAAACAAATACGACAAAACAAGTCACAAGATCCAGCTTCTCAAAGTGTTAATATTATCGTCTGATCAGAACAAAAGCTCATCTCAGGATTCCTCAACAGAAAGAATAAAAACTAACGTGAGACTAATCGATGGTTTGGTTCTCCGGAGGTTCCAGGGGCTTCCAGATGCTACGACTCAGAAACAATCTGCTGTACATGTCGAGCTGCAGTAGTGGTTATTGAAGAAAAAAAACAGTGGGAACATTCAGCCAGCTACCTGTATACACCTACCTGTCTGCCTGTCTGTCTGTGGCCTAACCTTTACAGAGAGCAGAGACACCAGCGCTGCTTAAAAACTAGTAAAAAGGCAGAACAGCAACATAAAGGAAACATTAAATGCAGGTTAAGTAAGCGAGCAGGGTTACATCTTTTCTTTTCTTTAAGTAAAGAAATAACAGGAAGAGAAAGAAGCCCGGAGAGGAAGAGAAGCCCCGAAAATATTCAAGCAGGAAGCTAATAGACATACCTGTGTTCGCCTCAGAGGGGCGAGAAGCTAAAACTGCTACGAACAAATCACAAAATACAGTTGTTTCTTTTAACGGTGACACTATCCCTAAGTCTGATGTTTGTTTTTTTCCCTTCTGCTTCTGTCCTTTCCCGGGACGTCCCATCGTCGTCGGGGGCCTCCGGCTTCGTCCTTCAAAAAAAAAAAGAAGAAAGAAAAAAAGAAAAGGGCGGGACATCAAAGCGGTCCAGGTGGCATTACCTGAACACACCTGGCTTCACAAAGAGTCCAGTCCTGATCCTCACAACGGCCCCGCTTTTTTAAAAGTCCAACTACGGGAAATACATATATACGGATTCATATATTTATATAGCTGGAAGCCAAACCGTCCTCCTTTCCTTCATTCAACCACTGAGCTACAGAGCCTCCTCCATAGTAATGAAAATGAATGGAGAGATCAGAAAGTCCAGTCTATATTTTGACCCCCCCCCCCCCCCAGTGCTTCACCTGTTCTCCTCCCCCCATGAACCCCGACCACCACACCGTTCTCCCTCTCCCTCTCTCTCTCTCTCTCACCCCCCCAGCGTCAGTCTGCGGAGACGCTAAAAACAGGCGGACCGAGCAGACATCCAGGAGGAGAGGGTTTATTTTTTTATTTCATCCCAAAGAAAGAGGAAGTTCTTCCAGGTGAGAGAGGATGTCCAAAAAGGGTGGGTGGGGGTAGTGGTGGTGAAGGGGTGTGTGTGTGTGTGTGTGTGTGTGTGGGGGGGGGGGGGGGGGTTATGATCCTCAATGTTCAGGTTTCCACGGGTTGAAGGAAACCCGGCGGCGGCGTAGCGCCGCGGTTGAAGAGATCGCCGCGCACCTTCCAGTCCAGGAGGGGCGTCACCGCTCCTCAACAGACGAGGGGGGGTAGGTGGGGTGGGGGGGTGTTTCAGCCTCGTCATCGGGTGGGTGTCGTCACCTCCTCCCCCCAAAGCCTCCACCTTTTTCTTGACCGGTTTTAATTTTTCCATTTCCGTTTGGAGTTCGTCTTCGTCAAACCTTTGTTTTTTCCCCCTCCTCCCCCTCACGTTCTTCTTCTCCTGGTGGTTATTTTAGTTTTTAAACGTCGACACGTCCGGACTCAAAAAGCGCCGCCTCGTGGGCCGGCCGTTCAGTGAGGCGGGTTCATGGCGCCGTGACCTCTCTGTTGCTTCTGCTTCTGCTGCAGGAGAAGCTGCTCCAGAGCCGACGGGCCCGGCTGCATCATGGAGCTCGACCAGATCGACTGCAAGAGGGGACAAGCAGAGTGTTAGCACGATGCTAATGATGCTAATCCTGCAGAGCTTCGTATTTCTGGTTAACCTCCATTCATATTAAATACATCTGGACCTCCTGATCCCTCAGAACCTTCCTTGATCCTCTGATCCCTCAGAACCCCGTCCCTCTGGACCCAGAGAACCATCTGGACCCCCTGATCCCTCAGAACCATCTGGACCCCCTGATCCCTCTGAACCCCGTCCCTCTGGACCCCCTGAACACTCTTGACCTCCTGATCCCTGAGAACCATCTTCTGTTGATTCTGACTGAAACCATTTAATAGAAGGATCGTTATAGAAATTAATACTTTAAATATAATTAAACTGTTATTCTCAGGTAAAACCTGTAAAGACAGAAAAGGGGTCTGGGGGGGACATCAGTGGACCTTGAGGCTGTCGAGCAGCACGGTGGAGGACGACTCCTCCATAGGAGACTCCTGATTGGTCCATGAGCTGCTGGTTGGCCCGGCCTGGTGCCAGCTGTTGTCTGAAGCTGCGGAGGACGCTGCAGCCGGCAGGTAGTCCAGTCCGAACCCGCTGACTGCTCCTAGACCACAACACACCACACCACATGTCAACATCTGGCAGCAAAGCTCAGCATTAACTAAACCCTCTGAACCCCGTCTCTCTGGATCCCCATGACCCTCTGGACCCCCTGATCCCTCTGTACCCCGTCTCTCTGTACCCCCTGATCCTTCTGGACCTCCTGAACCCTCAGAACCCTCTGGATCCCCTGATCCTTCTGGACCTCCTGAACCCTCTGGACCCCGACCCTCTGAACCCTCAGAACCGTCTTGACCCCCTGATCCCTCTGGACCCCATCCCTCTAGACCCAGTGAACCCTGTCCCTCCTTTACCGGTCTTGTCAGCCTTCCAGCGGTCCACCATCCTGCGGTCCCGGCTGTCCGGAGTGCCTATGGGCCCGAAGTTGGAGAAGGGCATGGCTCCGTGGTTGTGTGTGGGGGGGGAGGACGGCAGGCTGCTGGGGTTGGAGGAGTGAGGGGATTGGCTGGCTGGGGTGGAGTGATCTGCCAATCAGATTACAGCATGTTTCACAGACTGTACCACGACATATAAACACACATCTTGTTTACGTGTGAACAGCTGTGAAGTACCGGAGCTGGCTGGGAGGGAGGGGGACCAGGGAGTCCCTTCAAACAGCGAGTAGAGGGACGGCTCCTGGTGCATCATGGGAGCGTCGGGCTTGGAGCTGGGCGGCAGGTTCTTGCCGTACGCCTGACTGAAGATGCTGTTCTGGTTGTACTCCTGGATACACAAGCAGGTTCATACATCACAGCTCTGATCCACCAGGTATTGATTGGTCGTCATAGATTAAAGACCACTATGAAGTCAGACGAGGGGTGTGAGGAACTCTACATGTATATACAATCAATGCGATGCCCAAACAGAGATCCATGTCTGGTTATTGGATTTAGAAACACTGTTTTTCATAATCAATCGTGAGATTGTGATATAAAATTATATTTGTGAGTTGATGCTGTATTTTATTATATTTAATTTTCCTGGAAGTTTGAACCTCCTTTACTGCCGCATACTTAACTTATTGTTCGATAATCTCAGTTTTTTTAAACCCTATTAAAAAGAATTAGAGTTAAAAGATAAACAGATGCACCTGATTCCGGTATGTAAAAGATAAAAACATGTTTACTGAGTGTCAGAGTAGTTGAATAATGATCAACTCTGACATCTGGTGGTTGAACAACGTCAAAACAAACATTTGAGACTTGAATCAGTCTCTTAAATAATTAATATGCAACTTTTCTGCTTTAAAACCTCTAAAATCGAGATGACCTCTCAATCAAGGTAACGGTTTCATTTGGTCTCCTGTTAAAGGCAGCATCATGACATGAAATACTGTACTCTTACTGTGTCACTGACCACTCTTAACTTACATGTAGACATATGAAATAAAGTGCATCAAGTAAAGTTATCCGTCTATGGCTGAGTTCTTCCCTTTAATGTCCCATTCCTTTAGGTTCAGTTTTCAGTAACTCCTCCATGTTGCAGTCTGTACGACTCTCGTGATGCGATCGTAACATTCGACTTGGTGTTCTAGTCGTCGAACATCTCACATCAGGGCTCCTCTATCTACAGTAAACACATATTGTGATTTTGGAAGTCACTGGTCTTAGTTTAGAAGGAAATAGGCAGCGACATCTAGCGTTACAGGAAAAGAGGAGGTTGTTTGACACACAGGGATTCAATTCAAAGGACATTTTAAATCTGTTCAAAACAGGATTTTCTTTTTTTATATATCGATAGTCGCTGACGTATCAATACACTATCGTTTAAAAAAGTCTCCTGACAGTAACCTGTAGTAGGTAGTATTTTAGCATCAGAC